GAGAGGGGGAGGGAACTCATCAACCCCAGGCCTGCCGGCACAGCCAGGTTTTAACGGCTTTTCGGAAGGCCTGGAGAGAGAGAGAGTTGAGGGTCCGAATCTCCGTGGGGAGTTCGTTCCAAAGGGCCGGAGCTGCCACAGAGAAGCCCCCCCCCCCAGGTAGTAGCCAGATGGCATTGGCTGGTAGACGGAACCCGGAGGAGGCCTGCTCTGTGTGATCTAATGGGTCTTTGGGAGGTAATTGGCAGCAGGCAGTCTCTCAAGTACCCAGGTCCAATACCATGAAGGGCTTTATAAGTGACGACTAGCACCTTGAAGCGTATCCGGAGACCAATCGGTAACCAGTGCAGCTCGCGGAGGATAGGTGTAATGTGGGTGTACCGAGGTGCACCCACAATCGCTCGCGCGGCTGCATTCTGGACGAGCTGAAGTCTCCGAATGCTCTTCAAGGGCTGCCCCATGTAGAGCGCATTGCACAAAGGTGCAATTTGCATGTTGCAAAAGTTGCAAAATTGAGCCTGGTTCATTTAACGACCACATGGCCTAGCGGTGGAAGTCCCGGTCCCAGTTGTGGTTTTAAGTCGAGGATACCCGTTGCCACCAGAATCCGGGCTGGGGGTGGTGGTGGTGGGGGAAGCGTACTTTGTATGAACATAGAGGTTCATTTCAGCCTCGCTCTGAAGTGCATTGCATTGTTTCTGTCTTACAGATGGCAGTCCTGAGGTATAGAGAAACCAATGCTACCATCAAAAGCATCTCAGAGGTCCAATTGGAAAGAGGACTTGGGAACCCTGTAGCCCCTCTTCGTTGCTGTGCTGCATAACTGGTAAGCAGAGAGCAGTTATCGAAATGGGAGAGTATTTCTCCCTAGGTTTTCTGAATTTGAGTCCTGATTTCAAGGGCCCACCCCACATGATTCAACACAATGGGTCTGTTAGGGGTCTGGTGATCAGATGGGTAGGGGACTGAAGGCTAAAAGATATGAAGAACCGTTGCAGCAGTTGGGGATGTCCAGCCTAGTCAAAAGAAGGACTAGAGGCAACATGATAGCAGTCTTCCAATATCTAAGCAGCTGCCACAAAGAAGAGGGAGTCGAACTGTGCTCCAGAGCACCGGAAGGCAAGACAAATGGAGGGCAACTAATCAAGGAGAGAATCAACCTAGAACTAAGGAGAAATTTCCTGACAGTGAGAACAATTCAGCAGTGGAACGACTTGCCTCTAGAAGTTGTGAGTGCTCCAGCACTGGAAGTTTTTAAGAAGTGGTTAGACAACCATTTGTCTGAAATGGTATAGGGTTTCCTGCCTGAACAGGGAGTTGGACTAGAAGACCTCCAAGGTCCCTTCTACCTCTGTTATTCTGATAGGGAGCTTCTTCTGGTGGGTCCTTTTCTGCTGCGGTACCCCCATTAATAACGGGGCCAATTATGGAATGGAGCCCATTATAAAATCTTCCTTAGAGAAGAGGTTGGCTTCATCACTCCTCCACTTTCAAAGGCCCCTCAAGTCCCAGTTATGCCATCAAGTCTGGAGACCCCAGGGGACGAGTGAATGAATGGGATGGCTCCCTTATTATTAATATTCCTCTATTATTACTATCTTTGTTTTAGTTTTGCTTTTATAGCTTTTAATGCTCTTTTAATAAGTAACTACTATATCTTGGTTTGGGATAATGTTTGTTTTATTTATCTTACTGGTTTGTCTGATTGTTGTATGCCACCGAGTTATTTTCCATGAGATTGATGGCTGGATACATTTGATAAATACAATACATGCGTGTTTATTAAAAAGTGCAGTGCATGGGAATTGTGTGGGTAAGAAAGTGTGAAGAAAGGCTGTGGTTAAATATGTGCGTATATGCTTTGCATGCCCTATATTTCGAATGAATAATTTTTGAATTTAAAGTTTTTAAAACTAGAATGCCATTGCTGTTGTTACTTTTATTGCACCACACATCTATCTTGTCACAGCATGATTGCACAAACAGTTTGAAATTTTCTGAGAAATGAAATGCTGTGTTTTACAGAGTATAAGACACACTTTCCCCCTCCCCCACACCCAAAATGGGTGAAAATTTCGGTGTGTCTTATAGGCCTGTTTTTGGCCTCCCAGCCCTCTGCGCATTGCATTTTCGCCCTCCTCCGTCTCAGAAGCACACTGCAGTGCTCTGCATGTCCCGTTTTTTTTTGCCAAAACCAGGTCTGTTTTAGGGCTCCTGAACCCTCCGCACAGCTTGTTTTCACCCTCCTTGGCCCCCAGAAGCACTCTGCAGACCAAAAATGGGTGTGTTTTTTGTGAAAACAAGCACATTTTTGTCAAAAATGCGCCATGCGTAGCACTGCAGAATGCTTCTGGGGGGAAGGGAGGTCGAAAATGTGGACGTGTGGAGCAGAAAACGTGACGTGTGGTGCTTCTGGTGTTACTGCCGGTTTGGTGCACGCATGCTTTGCATGCATTTTGCGCACACTCTGTGTGTGTGCACAGTTGCCTGTAATAAAAATGGCAGGGGGGGAACCATGCCGCAGTGACCAGGGAACCGGTCCGGGGGTGTGGTGAGCCTGTTGTCCCTACAGGTTTGGCGACCCAGTCACAATTTCCACTACCAGTTGGCCTGAACCAGTGCAAACTGTTAAAAACCCACCACTGGCGCGGAGGCCGAAAACTATTTCCCCCCCCTTGTTTTCCTCCTGTAAATTTAGGTGCATCTTATAGTCCGAAAAATATGGTAGTTTGTGATTCCTTTCCAAGGAGCTTATCCTATACAATAATACTTTGGGATTCTAACATTCAGATTGGGCCTATGGGGCCCTTTTCAGATTAACATTTCACACAAGTCTTTCTTGTAAACCAGGATCTGTGGCCTCAAAACTATTGCAAATGAGTATGTATTACAGAGAGTCCTCAAATTACAACAGTTTATTTAGTAACCGTTTGAAGGCCCTGAAAAAACTCCAGCACCCTCCTGGTCACGTGATCAAAATTTAGACACTTGACAACTGACTCATCTTTATAACCGTTGCAGTGTCCCAGGATCATATGATCCTCTTTTGCGACCTTCCGACAAACAAAGTCAATGGGGAAGCCAGATTCACTTAACAACCATTTTGCTAACTTAACTGCAGGGATTCACTTAACAACTGAGGCAAGAAAGAATGTAAAGCAGGGCAGAATTCACTTAAGAAATATCTCTCTTAGCAATAAACATGTTGGGTCCAATTGTGGTCGTATGTCTAGGACCATAATGTGCTCTTAATTTTCTTTATGTCCCAGCACGATCCACGACAAACTGAGTGATGATCCACATTCTCTTTTTCCTTACGAAGAGATGTGTGTTGTGCTGTATTGTCTTCTTTTAACAATCCCTTACGGGATGGAATCTGGGTAACTGAATGGAACTGAGTGGCCAGATACCTTTCCTGTCGCCAATGAGGAGCTATATTCAGCAGATATATTCTCAACATGCCGAGAGAGAGAGAAATATCTGCCTCTACCTAGGATTGAACTCACAGCCTTCTGATTGTGAGGCGAGCGCTCCACCTCTAGGCCACCGCACCGCTCGTGTGTTGTGCTGTATCCACAGTCCTAACGTCTGGAGCATTCTTTTTAGGAATGTTGTCCAAATAAAAGGGAGAACAAAACATTTTTCTCACTCACATCTTTGCTTAGGATTTTTGAACCCCGTTTCTTTAAAAAGAAAAACACCCCAAAAACACATACCTCTTTTTTTTTGCAACTTTGAAGAAGGGGCCCGCCAGCATGAAACCTTGTGAGTTTTCAGCTTCGATGAGTTATACTATGGGAATGCGCAAGTGCCCTCTTCATTTATCTTTGCGGCTAATCTGGTGAATGTGTGTTGTCTTTATTTGTAGAGAAGCAAATGGGATTGTAGATCTCTATCTGCTGGATGCGCTGCTCTCTTGGTCGGAGGACAATAAGGAGAGGACTGTAAGTAACTAATCTTTTGGGTTGTATAAATGCAAATACAGCAAGGATGGAGATAAGGCAGACATGTGAACTTGCTGGAGGACACGAAACATTATTTTCTTGTAAAAGATCTTTTCTCTTTACCTTCTGCAGGGGGTTCGTGCTAGTGAAATAGCTACGCGTCTCCGTAATTGCATTGAGAATACATACAGGTGGTCCTCGACTTACAACCATTCAGTTTAGTATCCCATTAAAGCAGGAGTCTCCAACCTTGGTGACTTTAAGTCTGGTGGAATTCAACTCCCAGAATTCCCCAGTCAGCTTGAAAAGGGGAAGACTTCGGTTCCCAGAATTCTGGGAGTTGCAATCCGCCAATGTTAAAGTTGCCAAGGTTGATGACTTCTGCTTTAAAGGGACAGGAAGCCTGGAAAAAAAGCAACAAATGGTTGGTCTTCCTTTCAACTAGCATAGCATCCCCTTGGTCACATGATCGAAATTTGGGCACTGGGCAACTGGCATGTACTTATGACAGATGTGGCATCTCAGGATCATGTGATCATCTCCACTGGTGAGCTACCGACAAGCCAAGTCATGGGGGGGGGGGCAGCCAAATTCGCTTAAGGGCGGCATGACTCAGTCAACGGCTGCAATGATTTGCTTAACAACCGTGGCAAAAAAAAAAGATTGCAAAATTAGACACAACTCACTTAACAACCGCTTGCTTAGATAATGGACATTCTAGTCCAAATTCTGGTCGTAAGTTGAGAACTACTAGTATTAGATTCAGGTGATAATTTGCTGCTTACTTTCTGTATCAAGATAATCTTCCAGGGTTTCACATAGAAGCTTGCATTATTCAAAAAATGTACGCCAATCTATTTGTATTTTTGAAACCTTTAAAAACAAAATAGAAGAGATTCTCATCATCTTCCAAGGTAGATTACTGTAGAACAGAGGTGGGGAAACTTTGACCCCGACTTGTTCACTTCAATTCCCAGAATTTATTTTGGGGGGGTTTGAAGTCCACAGGTGATAAAAGGGTCATCATTTCCCAACCCTGCTTTCGATGTTGAAAGCCTATTTACACTGCTCATCGATCTTGCTGGAGAGAGAAAGCGCACACCAAATAGTCTTTCTTCAATATGATGTCAGCACCGCCCATGTTCGGGCCAGGCACGCTGCCGTTTAAAATAATAGTTTGTACACATGTGCATTTATGACGTCCCCATGATGCCTGCATGAGATCCAGTGGCAAAATTCATTCCGTCAATGGCAAGAGAGAAGAATATCAACCCACCATGCCTTCCAGCACTGGAAAAATCCCTGGGTTCCCCCGCCCTCTTTCCCTTCCTGGCATAAGCAGATATTTGTAATAATAGCTCTGGTGACATAGGCAAACTGTGGCAGGGTCACTCATATTACATCATATCACAGATTGAGGATGTAGGAGAGAGAATATCTTGCTTGGCAAAGGCTCCACCACCTACAAGCGCCCTCCTCGCTTTTTCTACCGCGCAGTGATCAAGCATGGGATAGATCAACTGTCTTCAACTGTCAGTTATGATGTGAAACCATGCCAGTGGATCTCCACCTGATAAATAGTCACTTTGAACAGATGGCTGGAGGAAAATAAATGATGGATTTCTGCAGCGGGTGGTACTGAGAACTCATCTTCAACAGCTTAGTGAAAGAGAGCAGGACAAAAGAAAGAGAGAGAGAGAGAGAGAGAGAGAGAGAGGGAGAGAGAGAGAGAGAGAGAGAGAAAGAGAAATAGGGAAATGTGAGTATGCTAGAATATATGTGTTCTGACCTAGCCTGATACAGTAAAAAGCACACACTTAGTCCCCCAAACCCTCTTTTTATTTCAAAAGCTGTGAATTATGTTCATTCACAGCCCATAATGAGTCCCAAATAGTTGTAAAGAGTCCTATAGTAGGCTGCCAAAGTCTTTCGGAATAAGGCTGATAAGCACCCACCTTTATCTTCCTTGAAACGCTGCCAAAGACTTAATTGGCAATTAGCTTGGCAAGTCTACATGGAGCAAAGCGTCAGAACGGAGCTTTAGAAGGTAAACTGACCAGCATGAACCAAGTTGCTTCCTACAAAGGCTCACATGCCTTTGCTCTTCCTTTATGTCCTATGGGAGGGGCCAATCACCTCCAAGCCTTATTCCTGAGTCGTCCCTTCTGTCTTAACTGTTCTTGCCTTCTGGCAGCTCTNATACATACATACATACATACATACATACATACATACATACATACATATATAATAGTATATTGTATAAAATAGATGCGCACATAAAAGAAAAGGAAAAATAATGTAAAGAACTTGCATGTACATATTAGATATACGGATACCAGAACATTGTAAAGATTGAAATTGTATTATAAAATGAAGAAAATTGTTCAATATTTTTTTTTAAAAAAATGTTGTTGAATTGTGTCATTTGTGATGTGGTCAAGATGGGAGCTGGCGCATTCACATTCCTATGGCATGGAGTTAGCTTTCGGTCCCTGTTGTTACTGCCCAGTATTCAGTGCCATCCAGTGCAACAGGGCAGATGGTTGTCTTGTAAATCTTACATTGTGTGTCACACAACACACAAGTGAGTTCTTGCCAGTCCATCCAGGCTGCATTCCCCCTTGTTTGCACCACACCGCCGATGTCTTCTCCAATGCGGCAAAAGGCAGAATTTGGGGGAACTTGACTGCAGGGAGCAGGAAATCCAAAGTGTTGAGGCATTTTGCGTTGCTTCCTTCCTATGCCAGACCGCTCACCAGAAAAGCAAGTGACTTCAATTATGAAGGTTAAACTTTTTTACCAGTTGGCAGCGTGAAGGAGAGCTTAGCAAGGCTTAATTCCAGGATGTGCTTTGGACAAACAACTGGTTTGTGAGTCTTCTATGCGTTAGTGACCTCTACTGGAGAAGGACAAATCAGAAGTTGACTTTCAGTAGGAGAGCCGTAGAGTTCCTTTTTCCTCCCCTCCCTGCTGCTTAACTTTCTTTCCGTTATCAGGTGATAAGGCATCCTGGCTCATTAGAGAAAGAGAAAACGAGAGACCAGAAGCTGCCCAGAGCCCCAAAGTGGTCAAAGCAAGGTTAGCAGAGAAAGATTGCTGAGGAAAAGCTAAAGGAAAGGAAAGGGATGGTATTTATGCAGAGCATGAAGAAATGCAAGGCAAGGATTGAAAGATACGGAGATAAGTAGCTGGTTCCACCACAAAACCGTGGTAGACAAAAGCGCGCTTGACGAAAGCGCGTACGTGACGTCATCACAGCGCGATGAAAACATNGAGGGGGAGGAGAGAGGGAGAAGAAAGTGATGGATAAGGTACAAATATGGTGTATGGAGAGCAGAAGAGCCAGTAATTGTTTATGGGAGTTGATGGCAAGATGAATTGATGTAAACATTTAATAATATAGTACGATGTTGGCTATTTCATGTAGTTAAATGTTATGAAAATGAAAAATAAAAAAAAAACTTTATACAAAAAACCCCCAACTGTGGCAGGAAACGGGGCTCAACAAGTCTCTCACTTAGCAACACAAATTTTGCTATTGTGAGTCAACGACTACCTGTGCTGTGACGGCCTCAAAAGTGGTGGCCTTAAGTTGTTCCACCTTTTAAGAGTGTCTACCTGCACTTGGGTTGCGGAGGTCTTTTGAAAAAATGTTGTTATCATGTTCCAGATTTAGACTCCATTCAAAGAAAGCAGTTCTTGGGTTTCTTAAATTGTGGGAAAAATTACATTGGGTGCGGTTATCAAATGCTTGGAGGAAAATAGCCCAATGCATCACGCAGGTGACTGTGCCAGAGGAATAAGTCTAAATGTTGAAGCTTACTTAAAGTCTTGTTTCTAGAAGAGATTTACTCAAAGTCTTAGAAAAACTCTGAATGCCTGGGTTTGAGGTTTCAACAAAATGAATGGCTTTGGATACTTTCCATAAATTGCCTGTCAGGAGCTCCATTTGTAATGCACTAAACCTGTTCTGGAATGTTCTCAAATTTGTCCTTGACAAGACTCTTGGCTTTCGTCCATAGCCTGCTACAAATATTTGCATGTCCATTTTCAGTTTATCTGATATCACACGGCAAATATTGCCTCTCAGGTTAAGTAATGTTTAATTTAAGTTAAATAATGTAGGAATGACACAAAAGTCATGAATATGTCAGGGGAAAAACCACAAGTAGACATTGGGGACAAAAGAGAAATATGATAGCTTAAGTATATGATGTAAGAGCCCAGGGACGCGTTGGCTCAGTGGCTAAGACAACGAGCTTGTTCATCAGAAAGGTCAGCAGTTCACCGGTTCGAATCCCTAGTGCCGCGTAACAGAGTGAACTCCCGTTACTTTTCCTAGCTTCTGCCAAACCCAGCAGTTTGAAATGCAACGTAAAAAATGCAAGTAGAAAAACAGGGACCACTTTGGTGGGAAGGTAACAGCGTTTGACGTTTAGTCATGCCGGCCATATGACCACGGAGACGTCTTCGGACAGCGCTGGCTCTTCGGCTTTGAAACAGAAATGAGTACCGCCCTCTAGAGTCGGGAGCAACTAGCACATATGTGCAAGGGGAACCTTTACCTTTAAGAGCCCAGGGGCCAACCAGAAACATTCAGAAAACAATCAATCGATAAGAATAAAGCTGGAAGGGACCTTGGAGGTCTTCTAATCTGCTCAAGCAAACTATTCACCATTTCAGACAGGTGGCTGACCAGTCTTTTCTTAAAAACCTCCAGTGATGGAGCACCCACAACTTCTGAAAGCAACTTCCGTTCCACTGGTTAATTGTTCTCACTATTAGGAAGTTTCTCCTTCATTCCAGGTCGCTTCTCTCCTTTGATTAGTTTATATCCATTGTTTTCTTGTCTTGTTTCTTGTCTGGTGCTTTGGAGAATAGGTTGACCCCCTCTTCTTTGTGACAGCCTCTCAAATACTGGAATACTGCTCTCATATCTGCCTCTAATCCTACTTTTCTCTAGACTACCAACTGAATCATGATATACTAGTGGATCA